ATAAACTTGTCGTAAAAGTCAATAGAAGCGAGGCAGTAGTCGATACGATTCTTGGAGTTTGGGCCCGTAACTTCGCGCTTATATGGATTTTCAAGGCGCCAGAAATCGACTAGCCCAAGGCTGATCATTCAGTCAAAGAGCTCAGCTCGTGGTAAGTGGTAAGTGGAACCGGGAGAGGCTTGGTCCAAATCAGGATCGATAGTCATGTTGAGGTCACCCATGACTATATGAACCAAGGAGTCATCAAAGTGGCGAGGTAAGGCTGAGAAAAACGCTGCACGGTCTTCGGGACGGACTGGTGCATATACCACATGAAAGTATATACGGAGGTGTCCTAAAGTGGCCGAAATAATCATATAGCGATTGTACAATATTGAAGTATTGCAAAAGCGTGAAGATTCGTCTTGAAGGTGTTGGAATGGGTGTGCACTGTTAAAGGGTAGTGCGACACCATTACGGGAGTCAAACCGTCCCGAAGAAGCATGGGACCAGAATGAGCGTGCGTGGGCGTCCGCAGTATGTAGGAAGTAGTCATTGACTTGGATTGTTTGTCGGCTTGAAAGCTTGGTTTGTTGTAGAGCCACAACTTGGTAACGGGAGAGTAAATCGTGATAAAAGGGAAGGCGGGGGTTGTTTAATCCATTCACGTTAAGCGAGACCGCCTTGAAGGCCCATGCCTTGAGCCTAGAAGTGAAGTCGAGGTACCAGAGACCCTTCGTCATCAGACTTCAATGCTTGGACAGCTTGAACCAAGGTCTTTAGAAAGTCGGGAACACTGTCATACTGCAGGAGATCGTTTGCGAATGGGCTGAAACCTAGCAGCCAAAGAGTGGTATTGGAAAGTAACGGAATTGTCAAATTGACGAGAAAGTCGGGGACAGCATCCGTGACAACGTAAAGCTTAAGTGGGCCATGATAGACTGTGGGTGCCATAACGTGTAGAACTAAATTCCAGCTTGAAAGCACAAAAAGAGCCTTCTTGGCTTGAGGTGAGATTGGCTCCACATGACCCAGGATGTGTTTGAGCATAGTCTTTGCCTTGCCCGTAGCGTGTAAAACTTCGAGACTCCTAGTATAGGCAGCAGTTGTACTAGGTCGGGCGTGGGCTAAAAGACGGCAAACAATGCGATAATGTGCAAGAGTGTCTAGGCGATCACGAGATGCGATACCCGGAAGCATAATTCTCGGGTTAGCTTCAATCACAGCCAGCTGGTCGAGGGGAGGGCGATCACTCAAGTTGTCAAGGAATGAGTCCACATACTGGAAGAGTTCAAGGCGAGTCATACGCTCAACGTCGTATTGGATCGTAACCGGGGTTATCATGGAAACGTAGGCTGACGTAGAAGCGGCTGCAGGAGTGTATTCCAGACATGTCTCGTCATCTGCACTGCGGCGAACTTCGAGGTCATACTGCCATTGAGGCGTGGCCGGATCCAAGTTTTCAAACCATATTGGGTTATAGTAATTAGACTTGAAGATGCTAGTAGCACGGGCTGAACCTTCAGTCGTATTAATGTCGTAGTTGTATGACTTGGCTTCGACCAGTTCAGAATCCGTGCGTCCGTGTAGGACCTTCCGATTGGTGGAAGCCTTAGCCCATATTGGGGCAGTTGGACGAATTTTCGGCGTGTTAATTTCTTCACTCATGTACGTAGTGAAGTCACACACTGGTGAGGAGGAGTCGTTGTCATAGGAGTTATCGTCGGAGTCGTAACTGACAGCCTTGTCCGACATAGCGATGTCATGGAAGGGGGAGGGAGTGATACTGGGGCCAGAAGACGTAGGGTTGTCTTGGGTTGTAGCATCGTCCAATGTAGAATCTGGTGTCAGCTGACGTATGGACTTTCTCAATGATGATTCAAATCTCGAAGAGTTAGGCGTATTAGAATCCTTAAAAGATGGGACCAGATCTAGGGTTGGTGTCGATGAAGGGTCAGCTGCCGAACGATTTGCCTCTTCTTCTTGACGAAGACGAATAGACGGCGGTGTCACGCGGTTGTAACGAGCCACTTTGTGGTTAGCGAAACAAGGGCGTAAGAGAAACATACCATCGACGGATGACGGAAACGCGATCTCGCGAAGTGGGTTATCTTGGGATGGTACTAAGACAGCCGGTGCCTGATCTTGTGCAAAATAGACCGTACGTTCACGTGAGGGAAGGCCGTTCTGTACGAAAGCAGGTAACAAGCACGTAGGAGGTGCACTATGTTCAGTAAACCAATCAAAAATCATGTGATCCGTTACTTCATCGGGAAGACGGACTAGATCAACGTAATAACGAGAGCCGTACTTCGAGAAGCGTGCGATCTGGATTTGCGAGCCAAAAGCATTGAGCTTAAGTAAGCTGAGCTTGGAGGCAGTGTCATACGCTGTGCACGTAAAACGGATCTTCGCATCTGGAATCTGCTTGAAATCTTGAAGGAGACGAGCGTGGCGAGCGTCTTTCCACAGTTGTGGTTGGTCGTCCTTCGCCAGTTCATCGAGCACTTCAGCAAGGTGCTTACGCTTAATGGCGTGAGGACAAGGAATCCACATACGATGTAGCTCAGCAGAACTGGTTGGCGTAGGGGCTACTTTTAGTGCATTAAGACGCAGAGCGTCAAAATTACATATAGCAAGTTCAGACCCGCTCACTTCGAGCAAGGTGTCCGCTGGTAGTTGACGTGGGAACCCAGAACTACGAGTCATGGGGCGTGGCCTAACCATAACTTCAGTCGCACAGAGGTAGTGTCGTCCTCGCAGGTGACTGCCTGCAGTAAGAGGTGCAAACTTATACTCTAGGGGATCCACCCACGTAAAGTAAAGAGAGTCTCTACTGTAAGCCGCGAAGCGCAAGATGTACCTCGATACACGGCGCAACACAGTTGCAGTCCTCTAACCTAGAACCTCGCAGGTTGTAAACACCTTGATCGGAAGTTCTTACGGTATCTCAACCAGCTGTAGTCAGCAGTAGGTGTCAGACAACAACGAGAAGGTTCAAAGAAAAGTAGCAATGGACAGCAATTCGCGACTACGAGCACAGGAATGGTTGTGGCACTGAGGATATCACAGGCTACCCAGCGAGCTGCGGTGGTAGCTCCAACAAATATGTGGCGGCAAGGCGAGTGCAACGAAGACGAATCGAAATGATTGGTCGTAGCGAAGCGGAGGGCTTGAGGCGGCGGGACAACGAACAAACGAGGCTTCAACGGTGTCGCAAGGGGGTGGCCTTTTTCTGAACACTTGTGCAGAAGAAGGCAAATTGGAAACTATGCATAACTACTGGCAATCCGACCAAGGAAAACTTTAGGCTTTCCTAATTAAGATAGTTATACCTAATTAATATAGTAGACCCTAATTAATATGTATAACTACTGGCAATCCAACCACGTAGTGGCTTCTTGTTACGATGTAGCCACACCATTGAGTCATTACACCAGCTTGTGTAATCCACACCTATGTACGGTACACCATCTTGTGTGACCCACTCTTTTATTCCAGGGTACGTGCAACACCGTTTCATTATGTCTACATGCTTGTCAGAACATGGTATCTAGCGTTGTTGGCAAAAGTGGTCGCTCTTTAGTTGTCTTCCCAAGCCTGGATGCCTTGTACCCGCTCGAGACCCACATTGCGCGCATTCCGAGAACTTGTCTAGAGAAAGGTTGAGAGTCCAACACTCAGCCTTCACCGAGCCGATTGCAATGGTTGCTGTCAGTGGCGCTCTTGCAATCATGATTATAATTCCCACTGACGTCTAACATCGGCGTTGCTGCCCCAATCAGCATATAAACGCAGTGTTCCCTCCGCAATCCTTTGAGGCATTGCTCAGAAAGATTTGATGTTTATCTCGTGCTAGGCACTTGCTGCTTGTTTCAACCCGTACATAGTCTTTTAGCAGACTTACGGATCCATTGACATTATTACACCCAGTGTAATTCCCATATAACCCATATAAACGTTGTTTACAAGCAAACAGATCAGGAATGCAGTAATGACAACGAGCTGTTTCATATGTGGCTCGCATTTAGCGCACCGCAAGATTCAGAGAGTATGTTTCGAAGAAATCGATTGCATACTTTTGCCTGAAACCCTTAGCCAGAAGTTGTGCTTGAACCGCACACCAGTGCGATTTCGGTTCCGGTTTTTGGCATATACCCATTCTTATCCAATTATGCGATGGTTGAATTGTGGATTCAATATCTAGAGGTGTTCTTTTCTCTTCGAAGTCAAGCTCAGCTTCGATAGCGTCATACCGATTCGCTGCATCATCACTTACCATTGCGTGGGCAATTGAAGTAGGTAAATTCGTCTCATCTCACTTTTCACCGTGTACCCAAGAACAGCTTCGACTAGAGTCATTGACTCATGTACTTTTCTTGTCCGGTCCACATCAGGCCAAAATGCTTAACGATCTGTTTGACGCGTATGAAGAGATGGAAGATACTCTGCTATCTCCGACTTCTTTTAATAGAACCATCGGAAGGTGTGAGCTGCTGTATGCTAACACTTGATATATGATCAACGTCGTCCATCTGACGACTGTGAAAGTTTTTTGGCTTTTCTAATAAAACGGCCGTTGACCAGCTAGGTTTTGAAAAAAATCCTCTGTACTGAACTTTAAACTCGACGTTCGCTTCTGGCAATCGCGCATGCGTGTCGTAAAAGTCACCTACTTCCCGCTCATCCAACATGACAGAACTGGTCACTCCGCCCTTGGCTTTCTTCAACTTGAACACGCGAAAATCCAGCATAACCGATACACATGCATTTGAAGCTCTTAAGTTTGACCTTGCTCTCTTTGCATCGTTAACAGCAGCACGATCACGCGAAAATTAATCATACGATACAAAAACAATGTATGAAAAAAAAATGATGTGTTCACTGTGTCCGTCAAATAATCAGTCCCAACTTTCTAAGATTGAAGCGTATCAAGGGCTATTTCCATGTTGATTTGTTGTATTCGCTTCTCCATCCCATTTTGATGAGGGCTGTATGAAGCGGAACGTTGGCAAACGATGCCGATCCGACGACGTATGACATCCATCGCTTCGTTCACAATGCTATTCAGTAATCAGATATCGAGCATTTGAGTCGAACAGACCTCTGATCCGTATAAAGTTCTGAATTTTTTGAGCATGCCAACTATTCTACGCCTGCGCTTTCTCAAAAAAATGAAAATATTTCTGGAAACCATAAAAAAGTGAAAATATATTTTACACCTCCTTCGAAGGAGTCTGCATGGGTTCCTTAATTTTTATATACACGCATTTCAACACATACATCGTCTTTGTCATTGATCGTAAGGGAAAAATTGTGACTGTCTCCCCTACAAACATCCAGCACATAATGTTTCTGTTTCTTGCCCTGCCATCGGGATGCCTTTGTTCGTGCGCTCTATCTTGGCATAGCATTATTATTCAAGGTTGCCACGAGAGTATGTCGAAGCTCCCACAAAGCGCCAACCCTGCAATACTTTACGTCACATGCTTCTTTCTGCTTACAGATGGGCATGTACACTTTAAAAATTCTAGAATTCGATGCACTCGCCTTTTTTGTTTCAGATCAGACACGACAATCGCGAAAACTCCACACTCAAGCCGCGTTTCGTAAGCTTGCCAACCACCAAGAAACTTCTGTCCAGTCCTGGAATATACAACACTTCTATCATCCAAAATCCCCTTTAACCCAAACCAATCGATTTTGTGGTGTCAGTCTCACTGACTAATACTTTTATACTATTTGCAATTATTACCTTGATGCATATTTCAAGGTCCTTGTTTTCAAATAATTTCTACTTGTGCGGGCAAATATGGGATGTAGCACCTCTTTCGATAAACCTACCCGCCAATTGCTCTTCTCTCACTGAAAATACAGCGTCAACATTGCTCACACGTCTTCCAGTTGGTCATATCCGCTTCGCATGTCCAACCTAGTCCCAATTCAAAACCTGCCCTATAAATTGCTGTTATTGGGTGAAGAGCCACTTGATCAAACGTTGAATCGTCCTCCTTTAATCCTCCTGCATTCCCGTCTAAGCGGAACGCTTTCTTCTGAGCCTTCATTCTGTGCAGCTTCTCAGATTTCTACGCAACATCTTCTTCACTTCAATCGATGTCGTGCCCTTCGAATTTTTTCTAATCGATGATTTCAATAACATTGCAATGTGAGGCTGCTGAGAAGAACTACGACTCGATAAATGGCTGCATTATCATCTGGAAACTCACAACTAGCTTGTCACAAGTGTCTAGACGTTCCACAGATCGAGTACTACTTTCAGTTTTCAAGCCATGAAGTTTTTGCGGCATCGCTACGCGATTGTGCTGTGTCAGGCAATTCTAAATGTTACGTAGCATTTCCTTTGCTTTCATGACACTCGTGACCAGCATAAATTTGGTCTGATGTTAACACGCAACGCCTTGCGTAATCATTTATTAATGCCTTAATGTCCTTCACATTCAACGTCTCTGTGCATGGCAAAGGTTACAGAAGCGCATGATACTTTTTTGTGCGGCCACCTTGAAATAAAAAGACATACTACTTGACTAACGCTATGCGTATGTTGTCCAGCATTGTTCATTGCAAAAGCACATGTGTCTGCACTATGATATGGGTCACATTTTGCCGCAAGCATAAAACCTTTGTGTAGTTTGACTCCTCTGGCATAGTGCTATTAGTCCATTAATCTGGATGTTATATTCAGTTTACCAAGTAATTGCTGTCTTTGTGGATTGTCTTAGCAACATGTTGCCTATCTCGCAGATGTCAGCTAAATTGAAAATGATGAAAATACAGCTAAGATATATTATGACAAAGATATTTGCTACATGGCTTGCTGGACGCAAATAATTCAGTTGGAGATTAACAACTGAGGGTGAAGCTTGATGAACAGTGTTCAAGGCGCTTAACATCAGATAGATCATATCAGCCGCTGACTATACGCAAGTAGACAAACCAAAGTCGACGGCACGCATGAAATGCGTCGTGGAACATATTATCCGAAGCGCTTGCGTGAAAAGACCGCGTGAATAGGTATACTCTCACCTGTTCAGTCAGCCCTGATCACGCAGTTCGTACCTCAAGCAGGCTTTAAACTATTTTATATAACTAGTTTGGTGAGGCTTTGGGTGCGATTCATATCTCCACAGATTGACTCCTTTTAGTCAGCGAGAGCCAGGCAATCATATTCGACTTGCTGATATCAGCTCAGCTAACCTTGTGAGCAGAAATTAATGATCAAAGCTCAGTATAACTGAATGTCATGCACAGTGTGTGGGATACTATGACTGAGAGCCAACACAGATAGAGCAGTATTTTACTGTCAGAGACAGCAAGACACACACGATTATGCTGTTGAGTAAAACGTTTCATTACATGCAAGTAGTTTGCCTTCAAATGCAATTTCTGCAGTACATAATTTTCCTACAAATCATCATCACTTCGGATTCTGCGCCTAAAAATTCGGGGTATGGGTCACTCCCCGAGATCAAATCCACTGGTTCTCTTAGCTGAAATTCTAAGAGAGTATTTGTAATCATTTTAGATTTGGATAAAGGATACACGTCCATTCGAGCCTATGTTTCAATTCAAATGTCAGCTTTAGTAGTGCATACGTCAAACTAAGTTATCAATTTTATGATCGCCTTTGCGAGGTACACAGCCATGTAGATATCGAAGTAATTTCTTTTGATATTTCGTTATCGCTACATGCCACGCTACTTATCGTTTTGAAACTGGTGCAAGCATTTTCTGCCAATTCTCATATGGCAAGGCTAAGTCTTTCTCAATGGCAGGGCGCATTGTGCTGGATAGCCCTGATTCACCCAATTCTTGCCCAATTACGTCATACGGAATTTTCTACGTGCGTCAAGCCGCAAACCACCATAGTTATGATTTCAATTTTTGACCAATAGCAGATGAGCGAGTGACACCGTTGACATTTTCATTAGCTTGTTCACCTGTTGCGGGAATGCATTATCGAGGGAAATGTCTTTCCACCTCCCTTGATAACGCTTAAACACCAGAATAATTTGCAGAGTCCATCTGTTCGAAATAGACGAGCAAGATACTTACTTGGTAAGCAGTGCCGCCGGAGTATTATACTCCGGCGGATGATTTTATTGAGCTCTTTTGTTGATAGCAATGGATCGTATCCATTGGAACGCACTGATCTGATACATTCGACGATTCAGTGGTCATACGTTTGAACCGCGGCTTCTAACTGCAGTCAGCGTAGTTATTTCCAATGGGCAAGGTCTTGACGACAGCTATACTAGTGATGCAGAAGTGCTTCTCGACGGTGAGCCATGTGTGGCGCTGATAGAGTTGCTCTATGCGCTGCATCTGGAGAGCAAGCTTGTTTCTGTTCCTTCGCTGATGCCACACGGCATGTTTGCACAATTTGACTCTGATATAGAGTTGCTTCTATATGTCCAGAATGTGTTTGATCGAATTCCCCTAGTATGCGCGACAATTTTTTCAGCTACTTAACACAGATCTCGCAAGATGGTGCTACCACCGGTTTTGTAGCACTATGGCAGGATCATTCCCATGTATTCCCGGCAGAGCCGAAGCTACCATAATTTTCTGACCTTATAATTACAGCCACGAACACCGTACACAGATTTCTGTGCTCTTATACCTCCTAACGCAAAGACAGCAAGATGCTGTGTCAAAAGTATTGCGTTAGGTATTTTTTGTCTGAAGTCGCAAAGTCACAAGTAGCCAAAATAGAGTATTTACGCAGGAAAGCGCTCAAGTGCGGTCGCACAGCTTCAGCAGTGCTTTCAATCAAGAAGAAACGATATTTATCGACTTTGATTGTTGCCACGTTGCAATATAAACTGCGTTGATTAATGGCTCAAGTACTATTTTTGTCGTGATGACCATTAGCAAAGTTTCGATACAAATCAGTGTGATTAGCAATCAATTACGTTGTGACTGATTTTTTTTAGTATATGACAAGAGCGGTTTTAGATGGTATGCATTTAGATCTTTGGGTTTGAAAAAATACTGATCTAAAATGACTGAGTTATAAACATATTAAGCAGCTTTCTTTTACAAAGCAAATTCTCTCTCTCGTATCACAGTGAAAATTTATTGACGGTCACATTTCACTTACAAGCAAGCTGTAACAGATTTCACGTGCCTTGGTAGGAAGGGTGTGGGTCGCATAAGATGATGTGATCACACAATTGCACGTGTCACAAAAGATGATCTGATCCCACAATATATTGAAATAACAAGTCAGTACGTCGCTTGAACAGTAGATATGCATCTGAATAAGATTTAATATTTAATCAGGATTTAGATATAGGCGGCTCTGACACAAATAAAACCAAGAAATACAGTTTAAGTTTTAGTTGGAAAGTTAATTAGCATTGGGTTGAGGTTGTAGTTACTCTTTGAGTAAGTGGGTTGTGATCCGCTGTATTCGTACTGATTTTATGTATAGACCGAAGTGCACCGACCTTACCCAGACTTCCTATAAGCAAAAAGAGCTACCGCAGTCCCGCTGCACTTGGTAGCAATTGTAGTGAATCTACACCTGAGTCGACTGGCCCTCTCTCAGGTCGAAATGAATCGCCTATTTGCACCAGGACATGCAGGGCGGGCTTAAAAGACTGATGTCTCTGCTTGGCCATTACAGCGTGCAATACCCCGCTTCACAAGGACCCAAAGCGATCAACGCGCGTTTTTAAGTTATAAAAATGCTCTGTCAGAGCACATACAGCAGAAGATAACGGCGTCGAAGACGGATTACTCCCCCGACCATAGCCGCTCATGGTAAGTGTTAAGACCTTTGAGAACAAGGATAGAGAGAATCTCCTGCTCTGCGTGAAGAAAGTCGAGATGGTCGAGGTGTCCACCATGCTCCAGATCGCGCAACAGTGTGGTACTTCGGTCGAAGCGGTGTTTCGCTCCTGGACGGAGCACAAGCGTCAGCTTTTGCGAGTATTCTCGCCGCCTAACTTGGCATATCGCACGTGATCGCGTTTTGTTGCCGCCACAACAGAGTAAGAAGGAGTTGGTGAACCTTGTCCAAGAGATGCATACTCCCATTACCGGTATGGCAGCCGATCCTCTTCCCGAGGCAGTCACAGTGAGCGTCTTTATGGATGGTCTCGGCAATGGAGTAGTCAGAGTCTTCTATGTTCACCCGTCTTCATTTGAAGAAGTGGTGAATATGGTATTGAATGCCGGGCTTAACTCTAAGTGGCAAGACTTGGTTGGAATGCACACTCTTAAAGCTCGTCGAGTGGGCCGGAGCCGTTAGATGTCGGCTATACTGATAAAAACGAGGGAGAGCATCGAGCTGCCGGGGCGCCCGATGGTGTGTTGTCTGTGGAGACCCCGTCACCTTTAGACTGGTTGTCCCATGCGAAAGGCGCGTCAAGGTTCATCGAACCGACGCCCCGCTACTCACCAGTCCACTAATTGTCGCGGGGAAACGACACCACTTATCAGGCGAGGGGCGCCTTACTGGGAAAGAATTGAGTTCTGTTAAGCCCCAAAGAGATAAAGAGCAGCAGGGGCTAGCGACATAAAGCTAATTGCTTTTGAACACTGAACGTGTTTGCAAGCCAGGCTTGCTGGTCAGAGGAGTGACCGTGAAGGGCTTTGAGAAGCCACAAGAGATTCTGTTCGACCTCGGGGCGTCGGTCAATCATGCTCGACGCTTCACGATTAAAGGAAGTCAGCTGTATGCTGAGCGGTGAAAGCGCCGTTGAGTGACACGGCACTGTTCGCTTAGCGACGGACACTTATGTCATTGGGCCGAGGGTCCCTCTGGACCTCGCTGTCAACTTCTAGGCTTTGAAGTATGCAAGGCTGCTTAGCCTTAGACTTGAATGCAATGTATGATATCATCCATGGTATAGCTATTCAATGCACGTGGAGTGGCCCGTGAAGCACGAAGACTGCGGAGCAAGCAGCTCTTCGTCGGATGTTGTTAATAGATCCAGGCTCCGGTGGAGCAGGGACTGGGGCTCACACTGGACGACGCCGAGTGCATCTTCACAATGGGCTCGACGCGACACTAAATCTCTCTGGAGAGGCGACGGCGACGCTTTATGCTAGCTACAAGATGCCTAGTGTCGACCCTGATCCAGGATGTGTCTACCGTAAACGATAGCGTACCGCTATGTGGAGGAGGAAGACAGCGACGTCACCTTCGATGCTACTCCCGCGGTGGATGCTTCCCTAGAGCTTGACAAGATCCTCTTTGGCGATGCCTTGAAGGCGGGCGATTTAGCCGAGGTGATCATTATACGTTCGGAAGAGGAGATTAATTCGTCCCCACTTTTGACCGAAGCTGTCCTGAAGGACACTATGAGGGTGGTGACCGCACGAAGTAGATTGACGGATCCCTCTGATCCGTAGAATCCTTCAGAAAGGAATTACAAGACGTCGATTCCAAAGACCCGCTGTCGGTTCTCCATCCGGACCGAGGCGTGCGTCATGAGATCGACCTGATTCCGGTCACCAAACACTGCGTAACACGCCAATGCCCCTTGCCCAAAAGGCAGTGTGACGTCATTGACGCCTTTTTCGGTGCAAAGCACAACGCAGGATTGGTCCGTGTGAGCTAGTCTCCACATTCGACACCAACGGTTTGTGCCCAGAAGCCGAACGGCAAGTGGTGTATCGTTCATGCTTACAATAAGCACAATGCTGCCTCCATTCCGGCACAGACGCCGATAACAAGAAACGACGTCTTCTAGAACAACATGGTTGGATGTTCGAAGTACAGTGCACTCGATTTGTGGATGGGCATTACCTATTGCTCATGAAAGCGAGTGATATTCCGCTGACAGCGGTGAGTGCTCCGAGCGGAATGCTCTGGGATTGGCTGGTGATGCTCCAAGGGCTGTCAAATGAACCACCAACATCTAATTGCCTTGTTGTCAGTTGTCCGGGTCCCACCAGTCGCATGCACAAACATACTTTGACGACAATTTTGTCCACACTTGTTTGGGGCATGGGAGGGCAGATAAAGACAACCACATGGTATATATGAGAGCGGTGCTTGAGTGTATGCGCACGAACAAACTGTACGCCAATACAGACAAATGCATATTTGGCGCAAAAGAAATTCCCTTTTTAGGGTGCTTTTTTAGGAAGCGTGGCCTTCGAGCAGTGTCAGCTAAGATCAAGTCCATTATGGACTGGCCGGTTTCAAGAACCAGAAGAACTTGCGTAAGTGGCTTGGCCTAGCCAGTTACTTGCACAGGTATAGCGCGAATTGTGCGGAAATGGCACGACCATTGTCGTCGATCCTCCTCAAATGGTTACTGAATGGTGTTGGGACACCGAGCATCATGAGGCTATTGACAGCCTCTTTCATGCGCTAATACTGGGGTTGCCAGACCGCGATCGTCGTTATAGTATCGTCTGGGATGCTTCGGACGTTCCCATCGGCTGTGCACCGCTGCAAGCAGACGCTGAGGGGCGAGATCGGGTGATCGCGTTCGAGTTTCGTTAGCATAAGGCCGTGGGGAGGGGATAATTAGTCCAAGACAAGGAATTACTTGCGATGAAGTATGCACTCATCAAGTTCAGGATGCTCCTGCTTGGCTCGAAGCCGTTTGTGATCTACACAGATCATGCGTCCCCACAACTCGCAGATGATAAGCTGGTGGGTCTTCCTCTTCGCAGGATATAACTTCCAAGTGAAGTAAAGCAGAATGCTTTGGCTATGTATGTATCCCTGTTAAAGACGCTAGGGGGCAAGGAGTTTAGAATTCGGACAAGAGGCTGCCGTCGCGATTGCGCGCACGGTTGCATCGATAATCGGTTAGTTACAATTTGCTTTATTGTAGCACGGATTCAACGGATACGTGACGAATTGTGGTTCCTCTCGATGAGGATTTCAATTAACGTTTCCTCTAAGAGGCCCATGATACCCCACTCAGTGGTCATCTCGGTCGTGAGAAGACCTACAGCTTGGTGAGTTGCCACTATTCCTGGCCTAAGCTGTACAAGTGGACGAGCTTACATGTGCGCACGTTTGAGACTTGATAAATGGTGAAGGTCTTTCCGAATGCGGCGGCTTCGCTGGCCAGTTTACAGTTACCCTCTTAATGTTGAAATTTCATGAGTATGAACTTTGTGTTTGGCCTACCGATGGACTCGGCGGGCAACACGACTGTGGTGGTCTTTTGTGGGCCGTATGAGTTAGATGGTCCATAAATGCCCATCTCTCGGCAGCGCCGACGGTGTGGGTACAGCAACACTGTTTGTGGATCGTGTTTTTTGGACAACATGGAATTCCGGAGTCAATTGTCTCTAACAGAGACAAACGCTTCACTGGGGACGTTTGGCCGACAATCCTCGGGGTGTTGGGCAATTGTCAACAGCGGACCATCCGCAGACCGATGATAAAACTGAATGCGTGAACCGCGTCGTTGTAGACGCCCTTTGCAGCATCTGCGATGAAACGCCGAGGCGCTGCACGCCATGCTGCCTTTTGTAGAGCTAGCTTTTAACAA